TATTCTATTCTATTCTATTCTATTCTATTCTATTCTATTCTATTCTAAACAAATAAGAAAAGAAAAAAGAAAGAAAAACATTCTTTATTGGCCAAGTGTGATTGGATACACAAGGAATTTGTCTTGGTGCAAATGCTCTGAGTAAACATAGAACATTCGTCAAGAGTCAAAAATCATCAGGTACAACACTTAATGAGAGTCATAGGGGACAATAAGCAATCAACTCATACTAGGAAACAGTCAATAAAAATCATTAGGATACAAGCGACAAAGTTACAGTCATACAGTCACAAGTGGGAGGAGATGGGTGAAAGGAAAGATGGGAGGATTAATAGTAATAGTAATGCAGACTTAATAAATAGTTGGACAGTGTTGTGAGAGTTAGTTGTTTAGCAGAGTGATAGTGTTCAGGGAAAAACCGTCCTTGTGTCTAGTTGTTTTGGCATGCAGTGCCCTATAGCATCCTCCTGAGGGGAGGAGTTGAAACAGTTTATGTCCAAGATCTGATGGGGTCTGTAGATACTTTCACAGCCCTCTTTTTGACTCGTGCAGTATACAGGTCCTCAATTGAAGGCAGGTGGGTCGTAATTGTTTTTTCTGTGGTCCTAATTACTCTCTGAAGTCTGGATCTGTCCTGTTGGGTTGCAGAGCCAAACCAGACAGTGATAGAGGTGCAGATGACAGACTCAATCCTTCCTCTGTAGAACTGGATCAGCAGCTCCTTGGGCAGTTTGAGCTTCCTGGGTTGGTGCAGAAAGAACATTCTTTGTTGTGCTTTTTTGATGACGTTTTTGATTTTTAGGTGTCCATTTTTGGTCTTGTGATATGATAGAATCTAGAAATTTGAAGGTCTTTACTGTTGATACTATGACATAAATGCCATAAAGCTGGGAGTCTCATACATCCGTGCAGGAAGATTTGAGATTGGGTGATAATTGGCCATGAACACGGGGTCTGTGTCATTTTGAGGAAAGGGTGCACTACGTGTAGCTCCTTCAAGGTTGAGGGGACCATTGCCTCCCTCAAAGACCCTAATACCCCCACTCAATGCCACCTGGGCAGCATTAACCACCTAGGATCTAACAAACAGATGGCCGCCTTCATAGACTCGAGCGCTCTCTCTGGTTGCCTAAGAGCCACACATTCAGACTTGCTCCCCAGGGACTTCCCAGGCAACCAAGGCACCTTCTGATTTCAGGGGCCATCAGATAAATAACAGGATATTGGTGATAGTGCTCCGTCAAAGAATCCCGAGGCTTGTTCCTTCCCAAGCAAGGACCAGGTCACCTTGAAGTGGGCATCAAGTGGCCAGTGGTAGATGCAAAAACTAGAAGTAACATTTTTTGCCCCGATGCAGTCCCCGATGTGGGTTTTACCTGTGCTTGACTGGGTCCTCTCTTCATTTTCCTCCAGTGAGGCTCCAGGCATCTCTTCTTCTCTTCCTTTCCTGGAGCTCCTCAGAAAATGGAGAGTTTTATTCCTATCTTTTTCCTTGAATAAATTTTCGGCTGAGCTTGGCTTGCAAACTTCTCTCTCACTATTCCGCTTGAGATCATGGAATCGTTCCATTTCACGGGAATGGATTTTCTAATGCCCCCTTGACCTAACTATCATGGTCAGTGTATGGCCAAGATTGTTGCTCATTTCTGTGTAAGATTTCATGCTCTTTCTTTCCATATCTTTCCAGGGTCCAGTTGGCTTTCCAGGTGATCCGGGGCCCCCAGGTGAATCTGGTCCAGCTGTAAGTACCAAGATGGAAAACAGGGATATTATTTCTTTCTCAAACATGTCTAAGAATTTTCACCGGAAGAAAATTCCAGGAAGCTGCTCTCCAGATCTTTTGGAAACATTTCAGTTTGGATTGAAATAGGGAATTTGGACATTTAAAATGTTGCATTTCTCCTTAAGATTTCAAGTATATATTTCTAAGGCACATATATACGATTTTTTTCATTTTGTGGCCTATTTCTTTAGCCTATTTCTGATAAGCAGAGTGCAGAGAAGAGCAACCAGGATGATTAGGGAACTGGAGGCTAAAACATATGATGAACGGCTGCAGGAACCGGGCCTGGCTAGTCTAGCAAAGAGAAGGACCAGGGGAGACATGATAGTGGTCTTCCAATATTTGAGGGGCTGCCACAGAGAGGAGGGGGGGGTCAAGCTATTCTCCAAGGCACCTGAGGGTAGGACAAGAAACAACTGATGGAAACTGAACAAGGAGCGATTCAACCTGGAAATAAGGAGAAATTTCCTGACAGGGAAAGCAATCAAACCATGGAACAGAAGTTGCCTTTGGAAGTTGTGGGAGCTTCATCGCTGGAGGCTTCCAAGAAGAGACTAGACTGCCATCTGTCAGAAATGGTGTAGGGTCTCCTGCTTGGGCAGGGGGTTGGACTAGATGACCTACAAGGTCCCTTCCAACTCTGTTAATCTGTTAAAAAAAATAGCTCTGTCATCATGGTAATCATCTAGTATGTCTATTCTTTTTATAATGGTTTCATTTTTCTCTGATATTTTTGAATGTTAGAAATTTTTAATCAAGAGGGAAATTAGACCTTTTGAAATCTTGACCTTACATTGAACCCGTTAGAGAGAATACTCATGTGCTGCGCATTTCATTGAGAATACTAACATATTCATCATGTATTGTTTCATTACAAGAGCCGTTTTGGTGCTATGGCACCAGGTAGGGAATGAGACCTTGAGTTTTAACCCTCCCCTGAGCATGAAGGGGCTGTGATGGGGTAGAGGTTGAGCCCGCCCCTCTTTCTCGGCCGAAACCACTTCTGAATTTTTGCCAAGAAAATTGTAAGGCCTAGTCTAGGCAGTCACAACGAGTCAACACTGACCCAAAGCCACACAAGTATATTAAAATGTAATAAATTATATATAAGATATTTACAGTTCCTGTGTCCCAAAGTGCTTTTTCAGGAGGCAACTGGACTTTCTTGATTTTTCTTGGAGGACGTTTTGCTTCTCATCCCAGAAGCTTCTTCAGCTCTGACTGGATGGTGGGGAATGGAAGGATTTATACTCCTTGCAGACAGCCAGTCATTTGCATCCTTTGAGAGGGTCGCTGAGGCCATTTGGAGGTTTACCTGTGTCCTCAGGATCACCTGAGTGATGCTCCTGGTTCCTGGAGTCTGCACATTTTTTCCTCTGTGTTCTCTGTTCTCTGTGTCATCTCTTGCATTTAACCGTTAATGAGTTTCACTTTATTAGGAAATTCTTCAGGAACGTGCCTTCAAAAGGCATGAAATAGAAAAAAGGAAAGTAAATAATTCCTTTTCTATTTTCTTCTAGGGTCAGGATGGCCCACCAGGTGATAAGGGAGATGATGGGGAACCTGGACAAACAGTGAGTACCCTGACTGGATGCAGCTGGCATGTATTTCTTGGGGCAAAGGATGCATCTCTTTGTTTAGTGCCAAAAAATACGATACGGATGAGTTAGCGACTGAGTAGAGAGAGCTAAGGACTGGTGGGGAACCATTAGTCAGAACCTGGGGTCAACTGGTGTTTCTGGAATGTGTCAGCCTAGAAGCCTTTATTTGGAGGAAAGCCTATCCCAAGACTAAGTACCCTTTTCTTCTTTTTTTTAAAAAAATGTCCTAGCTGCTTCTCTGCAGAAGTCACTGTGGCATGGCTCTCTGTTTCCGCAAGTGCGGAAATAGCAATTTTCTGGTGCAAATCCTCTGTAGGTGGCATATGCCAAGATGAATTCAATGGGCAAGATGATAACGAAGCCTATGAGACAGAAAGATATTTAAGGATGCTTCTTTTGAAATTGTGACCCCAAGACCTCGTAAAAAGGACAGTGTCAGGCTTCTCCCAGCTCAGGCGTTCATGGAAGAAAGACCCTTGATTCCATTCGTACTGAAAGGTATACATTTACTGAAGCCAAGTGGTTACCGCGTAGCAGAGCCAGATCTGACGGTTCCCCATGTCAGCCCAGTCACCTTCTCCCAGGCTCTCCCCCCCACCCCTGTGGTCATCTTGGTGGTGTCCAGTAAGGCTCAAATTAGGTGTTTTGGTAACAGTCCCACATTCTTGTGCCTCCTTGGTGGGCATTTGTATTCTGTTCCCAGGCGGGGTCCTTGGATCTCTCAAAATCTCTAGTTGGCACCTCTGGTTCCTATCATCCCCCTCTCCCTATGCCCTCCGATTTCCCCTCCCCACAGTTTTATGACAGGCTGCCATCAAAGCAAAGCAAAACTGGGCTGAAGCAGTTTGATGATAGACATAAAATGGGGAAAAAAATCACTTAACAGCTCTTGTCTGTGGAAGTTCTCCGTCTTCCAGGTCATGGTTGTCCCAAAGGTGCTTTTCCAAGAGGCAACTGGACTTTCTTGTTTTTTTTCCTTTTGAAGATGTTTCACTTTCC